AAAAAAAAAAAAAAAAAAAAGCATGTGTGGCAAAAATCAAACCAAACCAGAAAAACTAACAAGCCAGATTTGCTATCATCCTTGCAGACTCTGGCCATCTATGACCGGTTTGGACGGTTGATGTATGGACAGGAAGATGTACCCAAGGATGTCCTGGAGTATGTCGTGTTTGAAAAGCACCTGACAAACCCCTATGGGAGCTGGAGAATGCATGGCAAGATTGTTCCCTCATGGGCACCCCCTAAGCAGCCTATCCTAAAGGTGAGGAAGCTGGATGGTAAGCTTGCTTGAGACAGTGGTTGTGGCATCCCAAGCCTCTCCTTTTGGGCTCCACCTAGTGGAGAGAGGGGAGGATGCAACTCAAAGGAAGGGGAAACTTTCTGACAGGGGGCTGGAGGTGAGGGATGAACTCTTCTGGGTGAACTGTGGGGTTGGTTGGTAGGTAACTCAGCTTCTATTCTTTCAGACGGTGATGATCCCTGGTCCCCAGCTAAAACCTTGGGAAGACCATGAAGAAGCGCAAGGAGGGGCCCTTAAGCCTCAGCTAGTCTGATGGCAAATACGACTCCTGGGGTAAAGCATGGGTGATGAGGCTGCTGGGAGCTGGGAAATCATCCAACTCCATTGTGCTCTAAGAGGAACTACCTTTGTTTTCTCCTGGCCTGCTTGAGTCTTTTCAACAGTCTTATCCTGAACGACCATGGCTGATGGCTGGGCCCAGGTGGGTGGCAGGGATGCTCAGCCATGGACCTTCTTCTTTTGAAATTGTACGTCTAACTTCTGAGTCTAGATGAAAGACAGTATGTTTCAGAGAATATCTGATACCAGTTTTTCCCACAGTAGGAACTGAGGGAACAAAACAGCAGCACTCTCTTTCTACTCATAGGGCAGGGATCAAAGTTTGAAATAAAACACTGTCAGAGTGTTGAAAAAGTTTTGGTGGGTTCTGTTCATTCCCCTGGCGCAGGCTGGGAGTAGACCTCCCTTTGAATAGCAGAAGTGGAAGATGAGCTTCCTTGTGAGTGACAGGACTTCCCAGGAAATCCAGACTTGGGAAGAATAGTGTTTATAAAATATTTAAAAAGACCTTTTTTTGTAGAATGACTCACTGATGACTCAGCATTTGTGCTTTATTAGAAGAATATAAACCCAGAGAAATAATTTATCCCTCAGCCTTTGATCATGTTGTTAATTATTAGCTGCATCCTGGTGTGACTCTAGGAAGTGTGGTGGGAGGCAGGGGCCATGGATGGCTTGTCTCATTGGGAAATTCACCTCCAAGATTTGGTTCCCCGATTTCTAGTGGAGATGGTGACTCTTTTTTTCTAGTCCAGTATTATGAAGGCACATGTACCAGAGTAGGAGCCTGTGTAGAGTAGAATAGCTCAGTCTTTCCTAGTTTAGCTCCATCTGAGGTATTAGGAGAAGGGAGTGGGACTTCACATGCTTGTGTGTCCAAGGTCATCTGAATATGACAAGGGAAGTCATTCTGTACCAGTAACAAGCTTAGCTTATAGTAATACGATTGCTTTTATCAGTCCAGCGTGAACTCCCCCTGGAACACAGGACCTTAATTCTCATATTTTCTCTTTCTCAAGCTTACAATTTGTTTTACGGAATCTGTCACTTAAAGTAAGAAAGAATTAATCTTTAATGACCTTGTCCTGAGAGAAGAAACTGGAATCAGGTCAAGAATAAGTAACCTGACTCTTTAGTTTCTCTAGCTATCATCTCAGCAAAGCAGCAAACAAATGAGGCTTCACTGGGGAAGACTGGTTTTTTAGAGGAGCTGTTGAGTACTGACTATAGAAACAAAGATACCTATGCTGAGGAAGAGACAGTGCTGGTGGGTTAACCCAAAGCAACCACTCTTGCTCGTGCTGCTTAGTCTCAACCCTTTTGTTTTAAAATGCACATCAATTTGCAGCATTACTGCCCAAATGAGGTTTGGTCACATCCTATTTGCCTGAGCCCTGGATTAAGGCAAAATAAGGGAAGTACTTTTGAGCTGGGGAGTATGGACGAAGGGCAGGTAATCCTAGCAAGATAGGGAAGCAAAGAAACAAAAAAACACACTCAGTAGGCAAATGATACAGTAAATGATTTTTTTATATATGTAAAAACAGTGGTTCAAATAAACTGTTTCATACTACTCCCCTAGTTAACATGGCCTTCTCTAGATAATCCTAAATAAAGCTGTCACCAGGGAGCCAGAGGATAAGTGCAATTTTTATTTCCCCTTGGGATCAAATCCAGCTGAACAAATGGCCCCAGATGTGAAGGGTTGGCTAGAAGAACCAGGCAGAAGGTCATCTACAGTGTCAGCCATAGACCTGGGCACTGGCAGAGGCTTCGCCAGACTATCCAGAAGACCCAAAGTCCTAGAGGCTGCAGTATTGTTACCATGGCCTTTGGAATAGGCATTGTTTTTTCCTTATCTATTGTTCCTGTTTAAAAATGTTGACCAAATCGCCATTTTGAATAAGGTAGAGCCAACTGTACTGGTCAAGAAAAAGCATTCTTTATTTTTTTTTCCGCATGGTTTATTTCACAAGAGTAGGTTTGGGGGGCAAGTGTGCTATTTGCTATTTGCTATTCCCAGCTAGACGAGACCCAGTGGGATTGTTTTGGCGTGCATAGCAAAATCCACATTGGCTCAGAAGCCGTGGGGTTAACTAGAGCCCAGAGCAAGGACACACTTCAATTACTGCTTTAAAAGCCCAGGGCAAGTGACAGGAACCTGGGTAGGTGGGAGGGCCTGGGTGTGGGAAGGAGGTTATCTGGTCCTGGAAGGAGAGTAGGTTACTCTATTCCTCTGTTCTCTTTTGGAAATGGAGCACTTTGCTACTTTCTCTGTGAAGCCCTTTAAGTGCCCTGGTTATTTTTTCTTTTTCTTGCACAATACATCATGACATTCTAAGCTCAGTGTTTATATGCAGACTAGACTTTACAGCTTGTTTTCTCCCCATTGGGAATTTGGTCCCCTCTTTTTTATTTTTTCTTTGTCTTTTTTTCTCTTCATGAATGACACCAGTCTTTGTATTGTTAGAGGGTGGGGTTTACTGCCATCTTTAGTACCCCCATCCACCTCTGCCATGTTTAGCCTGCCTGTTTCCACCCCACCTCACCTCTACCAATCCTGGGACTTCTTTGTATGTTTTTCTTTTCTCATTTCCCTCTGGTAATATCTAATCCCAGCATTCTGTTATCTGGTACTGCCGTAAGCAAGGGTAGCCTGAGTTGTTGAGAGAAGAGAAGTAAGTGAAGAAAAAGCTCCCTAAGAAAGAAGGCTTTGTATTTAGTATGCTTTTTGCTGGCCCTCAGGCTTCTAACCTGCCCGGTAGCACTGCCCTTTCTGAGGACATAAGTAGTTACAATGCTGACGGTATACAGCATTCTCCTTTCTTTCCTGGCCTTCTCTGGAAGGAAACTGAGGTGGCCTCTTATTACTAAGCAACGAGTGGTTCTCACATCAAACCAGAGATTCCCCTTGGTTCTAGTTGTTTTGGCAGAAGAGAGGGGTCCTGTTGACCATAGTGTGAAAGGTTATGGGGAGGAGAATGAGCCAGGGAGATGAGTGCTAGAGGCTGGCAAGAGCTAGGGCAGAAAGAGGGGGAGATCCCCTAAAAGATTAGCAAGAAGCATACTGAAGATGTCTGGAAGGGAGAGTGCCCTTGACCAGTGTAGGGAGGACCTGAAGAAATTGCTTTTCCTTCTGTGTCTCTGATGTTGCTCTGGATGCCAGATGTTGACATGGATGTCAGAGTGCCTGATTGTTTCTACTTCAGCAGTCAGGTAGGGCAGGTGTAAGAAGCAATAAAGTAGAAATGGGAGATTCAGAGTCAAAATGACACGGGCCTTAAGGCATTTCAGGCACCTATTTTGAGTCATTTTAGTTTTTCCCCAATTTATCTTTGAGTTTGAGTTAAATAGCTTCTTGAGCTTCTTATGGTGACTTTTATAGCATTCTATGGTCCACCGTCCCTATGTTGCCAATGAGGTTTAGTTTCTTTTCAAAGACTGGACCTCTGTAGACTTCAGGGAAGAATTGGGTCTCCCTAAGAGACAATGCAGGACCATCATGGCTGACTTCCTTTCGTCCCTCACATTGGCTTTACAAGTGAGTGTCCATACTCAGATGACTTGTGATGAGTGCTTTAGATGGATGGGAGGAGTCTTGAGAAGCAGGGGTCTAGCTTTTATTTCCTTGAGTAGGAAGAAAGTTAAAAGTAAAGAGAGGGTAGGCCTTCCCCATTGGGGTCTGAGCTGCACCCTTCTTATACAATTTGTTTTTAGAACAAGTTGAACTCTGGCCTTCTCAAGAAGGAGAAGTGGCCAAGTTGTTTTTTATTTAGCTCTTTGGGAACGCTTGGACTTGGCAGGGACCTTGGTTCCTGAAAGCTGTGTTTAACCTCACCTGATAGATCTGTTACTCCCAGTCCCAAGGATAGACAGTTGGAGGGATGAGTTCTTCATTTTCAGCTTCAAAAGCCACTTGTTCTTGGTCTTCAGTTAAGGAGGAAGACTTCTGAGTCTCAGCTTCTTGGAGACTCTCTGGGGGCTCTGGGGCTAAGCTGGATAATGGCTCAAGCCCTGAAGGTCCTTGTAGTTCTCTGACACCTTCTAGAGGGAAAGTACTGGCTGCCTTGCTTGCCTTAGGGTGGGGGCTTTTGCTTTCTGGAAGGAAATGATGATCCAGAGGTCCATGGACTGAAAGGCATAGTGGTTTCTCAGGGGATGTGGGGAAAATTTCTGTCCGAGTTGCTGTTAAAGCCAGGAGCCCAGGTTCCTCAGATGGGGCTCCGGGTTCCTCCCCAGGAAAGATGTCTGCCATAGTGCCCTTTATCTTATTTCCTTCTGGATCAGTGACTTCCCATCGACAAAGCTCTGCCATTCTGCTCCCAATACTGCTTGCTCCCTGGGGGATAGGCGCCCCCAAGTCCGAGCCTTCCCAAGGGCAGACTGTGTCCTGCTCACTGCTGCATTTTGCTGGTGCTTTTGAAAAGTGTTCTTCAGTCCCTCCATCCCCCGCCTTCTGAGGGAACGACTCTCCTTGCCTTTGTGAGCTTCTGTCCATCTTCTGTTCCAGCCCCTGCTCATCTGCTCCTCCTTTACCAGTCTCCCAAGGGCAGATCTCTGCTTTCTTGGTAGAAGAAGCCTCTTCCACTTCCCACGGACACACTTCTGCTACCCTGGCTCCCATGCTGCCTGCTGCCTCAGAACTGCCTTTACTTCTGTCAGAAGATAGACCCCCACAATCTTCACTCTCCCAGGGACACACAGCCTCATGCTTCTCCAAGTCTGTCATCCCTGGCTTTTTCTGAACTGGCACACCCATGGGCTCTGGTTTTTCTGGGCCTCTGTCCTCTTGAAATTCCTCTTTTCCATCCTGTCTTGATACCTCTTTTACAGGGATTCTTTCAGTCACTTCCCAGGGACAGATCTCATCCTTAGCACTGTTATTAGGGTTATATACTTCAGGGTCAGAAGCATCCCATGGGCATACCTCAGCAACTCTGCTCCCAACATTAACCAGTCTCTGGGAGCTGGCTGTAGGCTGGTCAGGGTGGGCGAAAGAACCTTCTGAGGCCATGCTCTCCCATGGACAGATGGATTGTAGCTTGTTGCTTGTTTTTTCTCCATTTTCAGTACTGAATCCTGCTTTTGAAGCTGGAGTTTTTTCTTGAGTCATGTGTTCTGGGAGGGAGCCTGTCTTTGGGACTTGTCTCAGGTCCCCCTTCTCTGTTGCTTCCAAGGAATGCACCTCTGCCAGTTTGCTACTCACGCTGCTGGATGAGTCTGAGGCCCTGGGGCCCTCAGCAGAAGATTCCTTCAAGTCCTTGTTCTCCCAAGGACAGATAGCTTCTTGTTCTGGACTCAGTTTCGCCACCCATTTTGACATGTCTTCCCCCACGGAGGTCAGTCTCACCTTTCCTGGAGTTTTCTCCCTCTGCCCTACTGATCCACTCTCCATGTCTTGTTCTAGCCCCTTCTCAGGAGCTCCTTCATTTACCTCCCAGGGACAGATCTTGGCTTTTTCACTGGTAGGAGATTCTTGTACTTCCCAGGGACATACTTCAGCTGGCCTGCTCCCTGCCTGGTCCAGTTCCTGGTACCCAGCTCTTGTGCTGTCTGCATCCAGAGTGTCTGAAAGCTGAGGGGAGTCCCCTGGACGCAGGCTATCCCAGGGACAGGCCACCTCCCGCTCTGGGGCTGGCCTCTCTGACTTCTTTGGAGTGGTAACAGCTATCTCCTTGGGTCTAGAATCTGCAGAAGTCTTTTGTGTATGATTTGGAGACTTCCTAATGGCCTCAACTCCCAGATCCCTTTCCTCCCTGGCTTCAGCATCCACCTCCCAGGGACAGATCTTTGCCTTCTCAGCAGTTGGGGGTTCCTCCACATCCCATGGACAAATCTCAGCAGCTTTGCTCCCCACACTGCCTGACATCTGGAAAGAAGTGGCAGGGTGTCTCTCTCTGTTTTGAAGACCTGGTTGTGGTGGGAAGCTGCCAGGGTCTGTACTCTCCCAGGGACAGACTGCTTCCTGCTTTTGGATCTGCCCCTCAGGCTTTTCCCGAGCTGTGACATCAATTCCTGATTCTCCAGGCATTTTCTCCTTGTCCTTTTGAGATTCACCTCCTTTTGGTTCCTGTTCTGAGGTCCAGTCCTCCTTTGTTGTGTCATTCACCTCCCAAGGACAGATTTCTGTTTTGTCCTGTACCTCTGACTTGAGATCTTCCCATGGACCCACCTGTGTTGCTCTGTTTTTTCCATTGCTTGGGAGTTGACTGCCAGCTTTGGATGAGGAATTGTCTAGACATAGGCTGGAGTGCTCAGGGGTTGTGCTCTCCCAGGGACACACTGATTCCTGCCATTGACTTAATTTCTGCCCTGCCTTCGTAGTTTGTTCTGTCATCTCTCCTAAGCTTCCTTTTCTGGAGGATTTTTCCTTTTCTTGAAGAGATTCTCTGCCTGTCCCCTGACTTAGCATTTCCTGCCCCATTACCTCATCATCCAGCTCCCAAGGGCAGATTTCTGCTTTCTGCGTAGTAGGCGCTTCTCCTGCCTCCTGTGGACATATCTCAGCTGTGCTGCCACCCAAACTCCCTGAGCACTGTGGGCTTCCTGGGTCCTGAATTGAGACTGCTGAGGGGCCCCGAAAATCTGTACTCTCCCATGGACAAAGAGACTCCAAGTCTCCACCCAGTTTTTGTTCCTTCCAAAAGATTGGTTTCTTAGAAGTTTGCTGCTTTTCCTGAGGGAGTTCCTTTACCACCTCCTGGGCTGGCTTCCCATCCTCTGTTCCTTCACTTGCCTCCCAGGGACATATCTCTGCTGTGGCCCTGTCAGACTTCTCCACCTTCCTAGCCTCCTCACTGCCTGCTGCCTCAGACCTGCGCTTGATTCTGTCAGAGTCCTGAGGGGATGACTGAGGGGACAGACCTCCAGGCTCAGTGCTCTCCCAGGGACACACGGCTTCCTGCCCCCTCACCAACCTCTCTGGCTTTTTCCGGGCAATCGCAACAACATCTTTAGGCTCTGATTTTTCTAGGGCTTTCCCCCTCTCTTCTTGGAAGTCATCTAGAGTTTGTCTTAATGCCTTCCTCTCAGGGGATCCTTCACTCACCTCCCAGGGGCAGATTTCAGCCTTGTTGCTGCTGTCAGGGTGACATATTTCCGACTCAGTGACTTCCCAGGGGCATACATCTACCATCCTGTGGTCAGTACTGCCCAGGGACCAGAGGCCAGCTTTGGAGGGTTCCCGCCACCCCATGGTGGCTTCTTTGGTTTGCTCAAGATTTTTATCCCTAAAAATTTGCCTCAGTGTGGCAGGCCCTGTTTTACCTGCTTTCTCAACTTTCTGCTCCCCTAGACCTTGGGATGCCCTATTGCCTCTGTCTTCTTTTTCCCTGCTGCCCTCCTGTTGACAGACCCGGAGCATTCTGCTGGTGTGAGCATTCTGTTGATTCTGGAGGGACTCCTCATCATCGCAGGGAGCAAGGGCAGCCTGCTTACTCACCAACTTGGGCCGGCCTAGCCTGGGAGATCTAGAGGCTGTCCCCACACTCTCCGCTGCAGCTCTATCCTTCTCCCCCTCAGAACTCTCCTCCCCACCCTCCTTCTCTTTGTATGTGCTCCGAGAGCGGGTTAGAGCTTTGATGGCCAGTCCCAGACTGCGCATAGAACCCTGCTGCACAGGGGTCTTGAGGCTGTGGGATTTGGAGAAGATCTTGGGCCTATCCTCATCCACATCATCTGCTTCTCCCTGGAGATGCCTGTCCTCTGTGTCCACCTCATTCTCCCCAGGCCCCTTTTTCTCCACTGCAACAGACAGGGCCCTCCAGAACCTGGCTCGAGGTGGGGCGGGGGAGTGGCTGCCACGCTCTGGTCCTGAGGAGGCTTCCTGGGCTACATTTTCTTTCTTGACTGGCAGTTCTGCATTCTCCCATGGGCAGATAAAGGAGAGTAAGCTAGGGGTTGGAGGGGCTACTGGGACTGGTACCAGGGCAGGGGTTGGGGTGGGGGCTAGAACTGGCATCAGAGCTGGAGCCAAGGTGGAGGTGGGAGACAGCATCCTGGGCTCTCCCAGGCAGGCCCCAGAAAGGGCCAAGATGGGTGTGGAGACCTGGTGCCTGATGGGTGGATGGGGCAGCCTTCTCCCAGCCTCCTCATGAAGCTTCCCTGAGTTGTGAGAGCTGTCTATGCTGCTGCTTTTGGCAGGGGAAGGAGGGGCTGACAGGGGGGCCCCTCGAGCCTGTGGCATCCTTCTGGCTGATGGCCTCCGCACTGGGCTCACCATGGCTGCCTCGGCCTTCTTTCGCTCCTCTCGTTCCTTCGCCTGCCGGTAGGTCTCCTCCAAGTAGGCCTGGCTGGCCACCAGCAGGGCCTTTTCCCTGGAGCCAGCCACGCTGAGCGACTTCTGCAGGGAGGCCGGGCGGGCTCTGGGGAGCCTCTCCACCACAGTCAGGTTGTGGGCACTGGCGGACCTGAAGCCCAGGGCAGGAGGCACCTCCATGGAGTCCCGGCTCTCTGCCCGTGAGACCTTCTTGGCCAGCTTCCTCCTCAGCAGGGAGTCAACGAGAGGTGGGTCTTGCTCCCTGTGCTGGTCATAGGTGCTGTGGGACTGGCGCAGAGCCGGTGGCCCCTCCGGCTCCTGGAGGCTGGAGCTGAGGAGCCGTCTTCGGGAGGAGCCAGGCAAACTGCTGCAACTTGGGGACCCTGAGTCCCGAGAGTGCTGCCGGGCCAGGGCCTCAGGGAACTCGGCCAGGTACCTCATGAAGGAGCGGCCCAGCCCCTGGCGGGAGCTGCCCCGCTTCTTGGGCAAGTGAGGGTTGTTCGCAGCCATTTCCTTGGTCTTGTGGACCTCAAGCTGGGCATAGAGCTTCTTCAGTTCATCCTGCAGAGAGGGCAGGGACACAGGCAGAGCTGCAGGTGAGCTTTCCCTACTTTGTTCTCCCCATTGGTCCTTATTTTGACCAGTTTTGGGGGATCTCTTCTGTCAAGCTGTCTCCCTTCCCTGCTTTTAAAACTCTTCAGAATTTACTTACTCATTCCTGCAAGACCAGTGCTAACCTAGGCCTGAGATTCATTCAGCTCTGAGGAGTCAGAGTACACTCCCTTCTTTAGGGTGCTGAGGTCTTGGGGGGAGGTTACTAACTCTGGGGAAGACAGCTGATCCACTGTGTTACATGAGGCTGTTTTCCTGAGCCCTCTGAGCGTCTGAATCTTCTGTAAAGTAAGGGCACCTGGCTGACCAGGGGTAGCTTCCTTAGGAAGATTCTATGAAATTGATGGAGCCTGGCATGGTGGCTCCTGCCTGTAATCCTAGCACTCTGGGAGGCCAAGGCAGGAGGATTGCTTGAGCCTCAGGAGTTTGAGACAGAAACAGAGAGAAAATAGAAATATTATGAAAAACAAATATTATCTGGGTGTGGTAGCACATGCCTGTAGACCCAGCTGCTGGAAAGGCTGAGGCAAGAGGATCACTCAAGCTCAGGTAAGCTATGATATGCCCCTGCACTTTAGCCTGGGTGACAGAGGCTGGGTGCATTGGCTCACATCTATAATCATAGCACTTGGGAGGCTGAGGCAAGTGAATTTCCTGAGCTCATGAGTTCAGGACCAGCCTGAGCCAGAGCAAGACTTCATCTCTAAAAATAGCTGGGCGTTGTGGCAGGCACCTGTCTTTCTACTTGGGTGATGTGTGACCTCTTTGGAATAGAGTCAAGGAATCTGGGCAGTGGTGGAAGAATGGGGGAGCAGGTCTTGGAGAGAAGGAAAGCTGGGGCAGGGAAGGGGACCTGCAGCAGTGTACAGCCCAGGGGGCAGGGTAGCAGTGTTCCTTCTGCCCAGTTCCTGAAAGCTAGCATCAGGAGGGGGGTGTGGGAGCAAGCACCTACCCGAATGTCTCCCGGGTCCAGGCTGCGCTCGCTCCAGGCTGAGGCGATGCTGCTGTCAAGGTAGGAGCCTGAACGCTGCAGATCCAGCTCTTCCTCATACGCCTCGTCCACTATCTCTTCCCGGGGTGGAGCCCCCAGCTTCCAGAACTGGTAGGGTGCATATGAGTGGGAAAAAGACTCACCTGGTCCCCCTGTCCACTCCTACTCTCACCTGCCCTGTGGGGTGTGTCTCTTTACTTGGTGAATTTTCACCTCCTTCTCTGACTTGGAATGCAGGGGTTCATAGAGTGTTACTCACCTATCCTCTCTGATCTTCTCTGGCTCAGAGAGAGGGTGATCCCAGTATCCTGCCCCAACAGTTCCTAGCCATGTTCTTCAGCTCCCTCACCTCTCTCTAACTGCTTCAGAGTGGGTTTTCAGAGTCCAACCTTTCCAGCTGTGTTAAGAGGATCCCTCCAGCCCCAGCTTTTCTTTTCTTTTTCTTTTTTTTTTTTTTTTGTTTGAGACAGAGTACAGAGTATCACTTTGTTGCCCTGGGTAGAGTGCCATGGTGTCATAGCTCACAGCAACCTCAAACTCTTGAGCTTAAGCAATTCTCATGCCTCAGCCTCCCAAATAGCTACGACTACAGGCGCCCACCACAACGCCTGACTGTTTTTAGAGACGGAGTCTTAACTTTTGCTGAGGTTGGTCTCAAACCTTTGAGCTCAGGGCATTTCACCCACCTTGGCCTCCCAGAGTGCTAGGATTACAGGTGTGAGCCCCCTCGCCTGACCAGCCTCAGCTTTTCTTATTTCCCAAAAACTGGACACTGAGAGATAGTAGCTTCCTCTCCCTACCCTCTACCCAAATCAACTTGCTTAGGGCCCCTGTCATTTAGCTCACTCATCCCCTGCACCTCTGTCATCTTCACCCTGGACTGGAGAGGGCTGGGGTCTGCCTCACATGCAGGTGAGGGGAGACCTCACCTTAGGGATGAAGATCAGAGCCAGTGTGGCAGTGACTGTGCCATGGGTGTGGAAGAAGAAGAGGAGAAGGGTCCAGTCTGGGTGCAGGGAGGGGACCAGCGCAAACCTGGTTGTAGGATGAGAGGGGACTTGTCAGTGCAAGTGAGAGTGGCCGCTTCCACTTCACCTCTCTATACCTCTTCTCCCAGCTCTAGCCCTGATCTCCATGGGGTGAGGAGAGTGCTCTTTCTTCTTGCCCTTTCCAGGATGGAGGTCCTACCTCGATGTTCATGTCAATGCCCCCCATGAGAAGCCCTCCCAGGCTACTCCAGCTTGCCTTCTCTCTACCATACAGAATTGTGCCCCAAACTCTTCAAGGACCATCTTGTGGGTTGACTCTGCCTCTACCACAGGGCAGGGCCTTATGGATACACACACAGCAGGCTGACTGCTTTTGTGGCTAAGGAGTGAGGGGGAGAAGATGGGGAATTGAGCATGTGTGGGAAGGGCGTGGCAGGGTGCTAGAGGTGGTTTGGGAGCAGGAGAGTAGTGAGGAGAGATAGTGGGTGGGCTATCTGCGGGAAGGAGAGAGCTATAGGTGGAGGCTTCCTTCACCTTGCTGAGGCATAGTAGAGTCACAAAGATGGGGCACCCTCTTCTGGGAGAGGTGAGGAGTGGGAGGAGTCATGGGCAGGTGGGCCCATCCTCACCTGGCTGTGTGGAAGGCAGCAGAGAGCAGCAGCTCGTTGTGCAAGGCAATGCCCATGTAGCGTGGTTCATGGAAAGCTGAGAGTACAGCCCGGGTGGCATAGCAGAGGAAGCTGCCCCAGCACAGGAGCAGCATCTCAGCTGTAGGGGTAGGGAGATGGAGAGGGAAAGAGCCAGCACTACCTCAGCAGCTGTGCCAGCCATTTCTCTGTAAGGCTGGGCCAGGGCTCTGGGTAAAAGGCAGGAGAGCTAAGACAGGAGGACTGGAGGTATAGAGCCAGGGACCAGAGTGAGGCTGGGTTTGGTGGAAGCAGCTCACCCCCAACCATGATGTAGTCCCAGCGGTCGTGGTGACAGAGGTAGAATTGGCGGCCAGTGGGAGTGTGGCCTTGGATCACTAGAGGTGCATGGTGGATGTCTTGCTCCAGGATGCCCACCGTCCATATGGCCAGGAAGCCTAGCACGAGCAGCAGGAGCAGTCCCAGGCGCTGCAGCAGCCGCCCGCTGCTCAGATGGGGGCCCCGCTGGGCCTTCCGAGACAGAAACAGCTGTAGCACTCTGCAAGGGTTAGAGTAGGTATGGTGGATGAGGGGACAGGGAAGGACCACAGAGAGAGGACCAGAGCCCTGTTCTCTGTCCATTGCTTCCCTCCCTTCCTTTCCCTGTCCTCCCATCCTTTTCTTTCTTTCTTTCTTTTTTTTTTTTTTTTGAGATAGAGTCTTACTTTGTTACCCTCGGTAGAGTGCTCTGGTGTCATAGCTCACAGCAACCTCAAACTCTTAAGCTCAAGTGATTCTCTTGCCTCAGCCTCCCAAGTAGCTGAAACTACAGGTGCCCTCCACAATGCCTGGCTATTTTTAGAGACAAAGTCTCACTCTGGCTTAGGCTGGTCTTGAACCTGTGAGCTTAGGCAATCCACCCACCTTGGCTTTGGCCTTGGCCTTGGCCTGCAGGCTGGTCTTGAACCTGTGAGCTTGTGTGAGCCACCACACCCAGTACTCCCATTCTTTTCATGGTCTGCTATCTCTTCTTACCCCCCAAAAGTTAACTAGAGAGGAAGGCTATAGTGATGGGAAAATCCTTGGGGGTGCAGGTGTCTGTCTGGCTTTGGAAAATTCCATTCCATGAATGAGCCCAGAAGGCCTGGCATGAGCTGTGTGACAGCCCCTACCTATAAAGCTTGAGTGTAATGGTGCCGTAGACAATGGCAAAACCAAGCAGCCGGACCCAGCGAAGAGCAATGCAGCGGAATACACTGGGCTTGAAGTACAGGATGAAGACCTGGTAGGAAGGGGACAAAAATCTCTGCTTTCGGCTGTGCTTCTGTAAGCGCTAGACCTAGCTAAGCATGTTGCTAATCCTCCCAGCAGCCCTGCAGCAGAGGTATCACCCTGCAGAGGAGCGGCTCAAGTGTCAGAGAGGTGTGATAACCTGTCCCAAATCACACCATGGGTCATAAAGCTCTTTTAAGCCTGGGGCTATTTGGCTCCAGAGCTTACTAGACTAGCCTGCCATTTGTAAGTATATGTAGGGGGAATCTGAGGTCTCTGAATCCCCCCAAGAGGGAAAGAAGAGGAGAGGTCCTGGGATTTGGAGGGTATCAGGATGGGGTTCGGGGGACCCTGAGGGATAGGGCAGCCTCTGGCCACAGACTCACAGGAAAGTAGAGGAGCAGGGATCCAAAAAGGATGGTTTCCAGCAGGACAATTCCAGATGCCCAGATCCTCTGTGAACCCAGGAGAGAGGCATGTGAGAAGGCCAGTGGGAGGATGGAACCTAGACACTGGTGCCGGAGGCTCTTGGGCCTGTTTGAGGGGTAACTCAGTGGCCCTGCAATGATAGCTTTCCCTTCTCTGTCATAGCCACAACCCTGCTCCCAGATGAGCTTCAGCTGAGGCCAAGATTTCTTATAGCTCCTCCACTCTGGCCCTGTGCTCTTCCCAGTTCCTCCCAGGGATCTGCTGCTGACCTGGGCTCAAATCAGAAGTTGATGGAGCTAAAAGGGATCTCATGTATCCCTCTGGGCTTTGGGTGAGATTGCTCCCTTGTCTAGAATGGGATACTCAATAACCTTCAAGCCTGCCTCAAATGTCATGTTCTCCAGAAAGTTTTTCTGATGCCATCTCTGGCAGAATGACTGAGTCCTTTTCTGAGCAATCACAGCAATTGACAGACACCTCCATCCCCGCCCCATCTCACTGTGCTGTCATTTTATCTACGTATTTGCTTCCTCCATTAAACTGGGAGCTCTTTGAGGCTTCAGATCACTTCCCCTAACACCTTTGCAGTTTTTGCTTTGAGTACTCAACTAGCATTTGTTGAATCAAGTCCAATGCCTTTATTTTACAAATGAGGAAACAGGACTAAGGTGTCACTTGGCTAATGTCACATAGAGTCAAGACTGGATCCTATTTCTCCCAAGTTCTAGTCTTAGGTGGTCTCAGGTCTCCAGCCAAGATGGGTAGGACAGGTGTGCAGGAGATGTGGGGGCCTTCCCTACCTTGCTCCGGTGGCAGCGGTAGAAGACCAGCATGCTCAGGAAGATGGCCAGCATGCAGCAGGCCTGGCAGGCCAGCACTGCAGCTCGCAGTGCCAGGGCCTCCTCCACCAGGCATGGTGTGGCATCTATGCAGCTGGTGCAACCCTCGGGACATGGCTGGCACTGCAGTAGCCTCCCAGAGCTGCCTTGTAGGGACCCGAATTGCCCGGTAGTCTGGGTGGCACTCTCTTCTAACCCTATAAAGAACAAGCTGGATGCAGGGAGCTGGGCATGGTTAGGGCATCCAGAGATTCTAGCCTTCTCTCCTAATGGTCACCGCAGCACTCTTCCTGCCTTGAAGAGTAGGTACTCCTCAAGGAGGTCAGGGTAACAGAAGAAGTGACATCAGGCTAGAGCTCATGGAGAGGTCCACTTGCATCCCTTCTGCATGGTATGGGTTCATTCTCAGAAGGCTCAGACACTTCCAAACTGAGCCCTGTTTGTCTCTCCTGCTTCTCTCAATCTGCCCTTTCTCCTCAAGTTCCCTCCCAGAATCTTAGCCCAACCTGCCTTTCTTCCCCAGAGGTACCTTCCCACCCAGCCTACCCTATAAAACGCATGCTGGTCCCCGCCACACTTACATACCCCCAGAGTGGCTCGCCCCGTAGAATCCAGGTCGGCAGCGGCAGAGGTATTGACCAAGGACAAAGCCCTGACTCTCTAGTGGGACACACTGTGGGGACAACAAACACAGTATGTATTCGTATGGGGCTTTCTTTGAAAGATCTTTCCCACCTGAAAAAAGACCTATTCATGACACTTGAGTCTATGCTAGAGAATCCTTCCGGAAGCCCTCCCTAGTCTTTGGGAAGCCTCCTCTCTATGGAAACCCTGCCCTAGCCCTTGTTGCCTCTCTTTGCAAAGAGATCCCAAGAAAAAAGTACAGGAATAGATCACCCTTTTGTTCAGATTGGCAGGGTTGGGAGTTTCCTGTGTCCCACTTCCCAGTGCTCAGCTATTGCTAGGGCAAAGTGCAAGGGTGGCAGGGAGGTGGAAGTAGAGGTGGGGGGGAGTTCTATACCCAACCACACCTTGTGTGCCTACAGCCTGCCTCAAAGGGTCTCTATTGGCCTCCCTCTTTGACACACAGGTGGGTTGAAAAGGCCCCCACAGAGGAGCAGCTTCCTCTATTGGGGGCCATCTGGCTTTGGCACGGAACTGCTTTCCCCAGCCTTAATGCCAAGCTAATGCCAGGCTGGTGGGATGCCAAAGCCAGCCCTTTATTCCACCTCTGCCCATTGATGTTTGCCTGGCAGGGGACAGAGCAGACCTCATAGCCAGGCAGGGAAAATGAGCACATAGATGAGATCAGATCTATCGTGGGAAGTGGCTGGGAACAGATATCAGTGGGGCAAAGGAAGGGGTTAACCTTTGGAGATTCTATATCCAGCCTGACTGCACCTGGGAGGCTTAGAGTGTGGTGCTTATGAAATTGTGGCCCAGATTCCCCTCTTGCCTAGACCACTGGAATGTACTCTATTCCTGACATAGTCGGCACAATAGGATAAATGTGTACCCAGAGAAGTGAATGGGGCTGGGTACATGACCTGAACACGTGAAGGGTACAAGACCTTCTCCAACCTTCAAACACCTGTGTCCTGAAGAGCAGTAGGCCACCTGTGCACACACAGCAGTATATCTGCCGGTGCCAGCAGGCCTCAGGGCTCACCTTGGCTTCAGTTCAGCTCATGAACAAGCAAGCAGTCAGTGTAACAGTGGAGTAGATGAGGTCACTGGGCCTGCCCATCTCCTCGTATTGGGGTTGCAGAATTACCAGCCAGTGCTGTCTGTCCATCCTTCCAATTCCCCTACAACCATGGCCTTGATTGTGCCTGTGTCTGGCCTGTGTTCTATTACCTTCACCAGTCCCAGACCTCTTCAAGCTCCTTTGGTTTGATTCCTCCTCCACCTAAACTAGCAATTCCATTTATTTCAACAAACACCAATGGAGCATCCTTTGGGGACCAGGAGGAACCCAGAGCTATGTTGAGATGGAGAATGTGGTCCAGGGAGAGGAAAAGAGAAGATTAATGGAAGCTCAGAAAAGGGCCCAGATGGATCCTGGAGCACCGAGTACCAGAAAGGAGAGCAGACAGAGACACAGAGATTTCAAAGGAATAAGTGGCCTTCTTGGATAGCCGTAGGGGGCTCAGGAGAGTGTAAATGGCACTTTTTGTTGTTGTTTTTTGAGACAGTCTCATTTTGTCGCCTGCGGTAGAGTGCCATGGCAACATAGTTCACAGCAACCTCAAACTCTTGGGCTCAAGCAATCCTCTTGTCTGAGCCTCCTGAGTAGCTGGGACTACAGGTGCCTGCCACAAAATCCCAGCTATTTTTTAGAGGTGGGATCTCGCACTTGCTCAGGCTGGTCTCAAACCGGTGAGCTCAGGCAATCCACCTGCCTCAGCCAGAGTGCTAGGATTACAGGCATGAACCACCATACCTGGCCACATGGACTTATTTTTTTTTTTTTTTTTGAGACAGAGCCTCACGCTATCCCCCTGGGTAGAGTACTGTGGCATCACAACTCACAGCAACCTCCAACTCCTGGGCTCAAGCGAGTCTCCTGCCTCTGCCTCCCAAGTAGCTGGGACCACAGGCACCCGTCACAACGCCTGGCTATTTTTTGGTTGCAGCCATCATTGTTGTTTGGCGGGTCCAGGCTGGATTTGAACCTGCCACCTTAGGT